GGGATTGTGCCCCTTACAGGGGACACCTTTTAAATGTTTCTGGGTGGGAGGGAAGCACAGAGGAAAGGCTGTTAAAGCTGGAAGTAAAAACACCTGGAGCCTGTTTGCCTTTACTTCCAGAATTCCTTTCACATATTTTTGACAACTCGGTCAAGGAGGCAAGCTGACAAGGGTTAAGCAGTCAGCTCTGGTTCCTCCCCTCTCCCACTCTAGGATGCAAAATGCTCCTCTTCCCAGAGTCCAGCAGCTCAGCTTTGTGGGCATCTGAACATTTGCAACGAAATGAGCGATGTACTAATAGAGTATTTGGTTTTTGTTCTGTTTTGTTTTCCTCACCAGGCTCCTGCTTAAAGTATGCTGCCCTTTTACATATGGGTAATAATTATGTCTCTAATGTTAACATGGAAAGCCTCGTTCTATGTAGAGTATTTAAATTCACCATGGGGTGGGGCAAGCCTTGCAGTAAAGTGAGACTGTTTCTTTAATTTTTCATTCTTCGCTGGGGCACTAAGGTGACTAGATATGGCATAGTCCTTGGTAGGGGCATACAGAGCTACCACTTAGACCCTGTGTGTTCTCTGAAGCAATTACTCTGCATTTGGACGGTTTCCATAGGTTTCTGCATAAGGTGACAAATGAGATCTTACAGGTTATTCCTCGTTTAGCCTATCATAAAGGGTCCTGCCTGTAATAAAACTACAGATTTGGTCAAAAATGACCTTGATTGATTTTTGTGAGCCTTAATATTATTTTCCTTAGGATCTGCTATCAGATTGTAAATGCTCAGCCAGAGATCTGCGTCTTCCATTTAAATGGTGATGAAAATGAAGGTTAAGCATTTAGAGAGAAAGGGGTTTTAGGCTCTTAGAAGAAGTAGAAAAAAATTCTTAAAGTTCAATCCACAGAATTTCAGAAATTCCTTCCAAAGTTCCTGAGAACTTTTACACTAGATTTCGGAGCTATGAACCAGATGAGTATGAAGAATTCTACATTGCAGCTAAGAGATCATGCTAGAGTATATCTTAGGGGAAGAGGGGCCAAGACAAATATGTGTTTTCACAAAAAGTGCCTGGGAAGGTATTACTCCCAGTTCTCCAAACATTAAAACTGAATTTCTACCCTGATGCCTTCCCTCAACCCCCTCAAATACAGTTACTTCACAGGCCCAAACCACTGTATCTCTTTTCACATCTTTTCTCCACCATTTCCCTCCACACTCTCAGTTTGGAAACAAACACATGCTCTGAAATGGCACACCATGTTCCCACAAGGCGTAAAACAAATAGTATTTTCTCCCTGTTGGAAGTCACTAGTCATTTGTCGCTAGTAAAAGCGTTGATCCAGCAGACAAAATTCAGGGAAGCAACAAAAATCAGGGAAGACAGAAGACATTTTTTTAAAAGCCCAGACGACCGTATTAGGGAGAGATGTGTGAGCAAATCAGTATTGCTGATGATTCACGGTCACATTTCTCTGCTTTGTTTGCTTCTGAAATTTATCATTACTCTTGTCTTCCATAGAGCTCTGGAATGCTCGCATGTTTCACAAAAATTCCCATTTCCTTTCCTTCTGTCTCATTTAATGTATTATAGGTAGTCATGCTCCTCCCATCCCACAAATCCTAACTTTTGGGGGGTGATCAGAAGAAGCAGAAGATAACCGACTATCAGCAAGACAAGGGTGTGACAGACTGGGGTTTCCAGTAGGTGAAGTTGCATTTCCCTAGATTAGCCAGCAAGGAGCAAAAGTCTTTGGAATGCGCCCTCTTGTGGCCAATCATTTACTATTATCCTGAGAAGAAAGCCCCTAAAGGCACTCTTCCGTGAGGGGTAAATCACTGGCAAGTTCAAAAGACTGGAGTGATTGAAATGCAAGGAGTCAACCCCACCTTGAGCTGGCTTTCTTGGGGTGGGGAACATAACCATCCAATCAAGCCTTCTTCAACTCCTGTTTGGGAAGTACATTTCTAACTAAAATCTCCAACTAGTATCCTCTAGGAGGGGAGGTGTGTTGCTTTCAACAATGCTTAGGCTGTATGAGGATTTTCCATTTCTTGATTTCATTTGTCTGTCCCTATTTTTTCTCCAAGGAGTGCTGTCATTTGCTAAATGAATGACTAAAGGCCCGCATATACATTTGGCAGTATATGGAAACTCAATGACAAACTGTTATTTATTTGACTGACCAGCTCTTATGAATGAAACTAAGATCAAATAAGATATAGCAGTCAAGAAGTCCACTGATTTTAGTCTCATTGACAATTATAGTGATAACTAGCTTGTCTCTCTCTCTCCCTTCTCCCTTTCCCTTAAGGTCTTAAGGTAAAAACAGATGATTCTGTGCTAGCCATGCATAAACTGTAATGACATTGATGTGCAACCTTAGGTACAAAACATAAAAAAGAAAATCATGTTTATGTGTTGGAAAAATTTTTTAGAGAGACTGAGGGATTCCTCTTCACTTAGTCAACATATCTGCTTTACAAAGATGGGGGCATTTTCCAACTGAGCACAATGGCACAGACTCAATTCAGAGCTCCAGGCACATGAGCTTTTGCAGTGCTTCGAGTGTTGTGGCCATATCTTGGCCTTATTAAAACATCAAGCAGAACAGAGGCAAAATGCCACATGTATCTCCAAATTGAGGGACCTTGAGGTTGAAAGGCACCTCTGTGACATGTATGAGGCGGCACTTACTGGATGGATTTTTTCCCATAGAAAACAGTTTACAGAGAAAAGAAAAATGAAGGTTCCTTTGCTATTCTCCCCAAATCTTGAGTTTTGATATAGTTTGATTATTAAGGTTCAATTATTCCAAATTTAACAAGACATTTTCAATATATTTACTATAATCATTCTGATGATAGATTTCTTTCCTAGGCTAGCAAAATCAGCAACAAAGTAAGTACATGGCACTCTATTTGGAGGGTAGGTTGTCCATATAGCAATCGCTAAATTTGTGAAGTCGTAGTAAATCAACTTGAAGTTGATGTGCGAAACTTCTCAGATAAGAAAAATAAGCAAGTGTAATAGACCTTTACTAAGAATCTTGAACTTCAGCAACTAGTCAGTCAAATAATTCACCTTTACTGAAAAAAAAAGTTCAATTTTTTTCAAACTAAATACCTAACAGAAAAAATTTTAAAATGACAATATTTTAGATAATTGGGGGGAAAAAAAAGACTGACACAAAGATGAAGACAATAAGTAAGAAAGTATGTAAATGGTCAAATTCTTTGACTGCAAAATTGCTCACTGGCAAGAGAATGATTTGCTATACCTCAGATATGTTAGAAATAGGGGCATATTGCTAGCATCAGGTGTATATATTACAAGTGCTCAAAGGCATAGGTGTTCTCAGTCATGTGATGCAGGTAATGGCAGCTGAGGAGGAGCTGCAGTGAAGGTGACCATGGGTGGCAAGCGATGTAAGAACATGAACGGTGCCCGTTTGTGTCAGGAGAGACCATTGGACCTCTGGAAGACATTCCCTGTACAAGCACCAGTGTTATAAGCACCTTCTTTTCTACTTTGCCACCAGGAAAGCTCCAACCTGACTTTTATCTTCAATATGCTTCAGAAGATAAAGTCATGATAGATATGTCCTTTGGGAAAGTATTAAGAAAGAGCTTCAGGGAGTGAAACTCCCAAAACCTTCTTAAGAGAGACAAACTTCTGGTGAGAGAGCTAAATTGCCCAGCCCCGAAGCTTGCAGGACATCAGGGTTTCTACAGGGGAAAAGCCAGGTGGCCGGGGTGCTCTCTGATCCCCTAGAATGATGCCCAGGTCTAACATGGTTTCTCGAAAACAGAATGTCTGAATCAACAGGTTTTCAGGATTGGAAATTCTGAGTGTTGCCTTAATTGTTTATACTGCTGCGGAAAACTTTTAAACAAAAATGCTGGGAGTCCCTGCACATACTTTACTGGCCATATGTTCTACCAAACAAAACAATGGCATTCCTTTCAAATGGTTTTGGCAAGGGATATAATTCTTTAGCCTGGCATTACCATGAAAGTAACACAGCATTAACACATCTGTGTGCCCGGACGTGCAGGGGCTTGTAGGCATGCAAAAGGATCTGTGTCACATAACTAAAAATAACCTGACTCCAGGTCTATGGCCTGCACTTTTGACAGGTACTTTCTATTCAGCAACAGGTTAGTGTGGTCCTAAGCCAATGATTAGGATCTATTTATTAAAGTTCTTCCTCTTAAGGATTGAGTGAGAGTTCAGTGTAGTATCTGAGAGCACTTTGTCAAGGTTGCATTCCTTGGCAGAGAGCTCTTAGTAACTTTACAGAGAACAAAACTCTTTGTTTTTTGTTTTTTGGTTCAGAGAGCAAATGTCAGTGTCCCCACAGTGACTGACTGCTGTTCATTGCCAACTGTCCCCCAAAGTCCCTTTAACTGCTTAGAGTGGGATGCCTATATACTTCCAGACAGTTTCTAAAGGTGAAAATGACTGTCATTAATAAACTTGCCCTGCTTCTCTGAGGAGGCCTCTGATTGGACTTTTAAAGGGAAGGTTTGTTTTAAGACAATGACTTCATCTGTGCCATTCTACCCCAAAGGAGCACTCTCCCACCCCCAATAAAAACTTTGGATAGGGTCCTGAAGCCTCCTTGGCTCTCCTTCCTACCCCAGCACCCAGAAATGCCCAGGCTTTCCTTAGGCTGCTCAGATCTAGATTCCCAGGCAGGATGAAGGAGCCCCTTGCAGGCTGGCTTCTAGCTCCAGCTTGACCCCTGGAACTTCCGCCTGGAGTGACCAGATGAGTTTAGCAACTAGAAGCTAGCCACTGCCAGCCAGGACTCCACCAAAAATTCCCTTTCTGTGAGGTCCTCTCCCCCCTCCCTGACCTCCTCTCTCTCCATCAGCTACCACCACCTAATAACTCATGACCTTCCGGGCAGTTTACAGATGGAGGGAAAGAAGTTCCTCCCAGGACTGTCAAAAAAAATGCATTCTCCCCACCGCACCCCCCAATGCCAGCACCGACCTGATTCTGCAAACGTGATGATCTCTGAGGTCTGCTCCATAAGTTCATTCATTTCTGCCCTCCTTCCGATGTCATCCTCTATCTCCACATACCCGTTTTCCCCCACTTTGCCCACATGAAGCTTTCTGATAGCGTTGAGAAGCGCTGCCTTGGGCACCGGCTGGGTGACATCGGGTCTCTTCTTCAAGTGCAGCATGTTTAAAATGTGCTTCTTGACGGCCTCCACCATCTCCGGCTGAGGGTTGGGTACATCCTTTGGGAGGGTGGCCAGCGCACAGGATGGGCAGTCAGGGGCTGCACTTTGCCCCTCGGATCCTGGGGTCGGGGAACTCCTTACTATAATCCAGCAACTCGCCAACAAAAATCCTCTCAGCCAAAGCAAGGGCATCCTGGCAGCAAAAGTTGTTGTGATTGCCTTTTTAAAAGGCCCTGCTTTTCCTCCCCCCTCACGCACAGGTTTTTTTTTTTTTTTTTTTAAGGGGGGGGGGTTTTTTTTTTTTTTTTTCCTTCTCCTCTTCAGCAAATTCTCTGGAACAAGAACAAAAAGTTTTCTGTGAAGTTTTGTTTGCAGGTTCCCTCTCTGAATGCAGTCAGTGCTGTAGGTTTGTGGCTGTAAGGGAGGAGAGTTCTGACTGTCTCGGAGTAAGAGAGGAGGGAGGAAGGGAGAGAGGGAGGGAGAGAGAGAGGGAGGGAGGGAGAGGGTGGGGGGCAGACAGACAGAGACAGAGAGAGGATGGGAGGGAGAGAGAGACAGGGGAAGAAGAGAGGGGGGAGAAAAGAGAGGGAGAGAAGGGGGAGAGGGAGATGAGAGAGGGAGGGAGGGAGAGAGGAGAGGAGAGGGAGAGGGAGAGGGAGGGAGAGAGAGAGAGAGAGAGAGAGAGAGAGAGAGAGAGAGAGAGAGAACGATTGGCCCTAAGTGAGTGAGTGAATGGAAGAGGGAGGGAGTTTGTCTGTGAGTAAAGGCTGTGATTAGGAAGGGGAGGGACAGCCCGTTTTCTGACAGGCTGCTTTCCTTCTGCTCATTGCTCCCTCACACACACCTCTTTTCAAATATCACCATTCTTGGGAGTTCTACTTTCCTTCTAGAAGAAATTCTCCTAATTTTGTTCGACTTCCTTTTTTTCCCCCTCTCTCTTTCTCTGCCCAGTCCCCTGACTTCACCTTCTTCCTCTTTTGGAGGGGAAAGAAAACCCCCAATAATGCACACTGTCTCAATCAACAGGGATGACTGCATTGAAAAAGTCTGTCCCGAGCTACAGCCGGAGGTGACCCGATGCCCACCAGTCTGGAAGGTGGCGCCCCGTCCCCGTCCCGGGAGGTCTCAGACAGGTAGTGGGGGCTGGGAAGAGGGGCGAGGGGTCCACGTGCAGCTGGGGCCAGCCAAGTCTTCTGGCCAGAGTGAATCCGGGAGACTTGCCTTTTCCCCCATTCATTCATATTTAAATGCTCAGGGTCGTCGCCACTGGCAGGCGATCTAAGAGGAGCGCAATAGAACTTTTGTTTGGGGTCACATAATACACTCTACTTTCCCCAACTGCAAAATGCAGCAGGGCATTGCAAGATCCACAGGCAGGCAGGCAGGCGAGGTTTTACTTGCTCCTGTCATAGGAAGCTCTTTCCCTCTCCATGGCCGCCGCCCCCTTCTGCCCTTCCCGCACACACACTCTCACAAATTACAGCTACCACCCTTTGCCCTGACTTCACAGATACAATGCATCATTTATTTGGTTTTTCCCACCTTATTTTATACCAAATAATGCATTCCTTTGGGGAATAGAATCTCTAGAATATATTGGCAAAGCGTTTTCTCTGCATTTTGGTAGTTTTACCAGGGGGTCCTCTACCCTGTCCCAGATCACTGTGTTCAGCTGCCTCTTCCGGCAAAGAAAAAGCACACACGAAATCCTCATAGATTTTAGTGTTCACAGAAAAAGAAAAATGTAAATTTTTAAACAATGCCTTTCTGCATTTTTTCCTCCCCCCCTTTTTTAAATTGTCTGTCTTATTGCTTTTATCTTGCAGAAGTATCTTTAAGAGGTCCATCTGTTAAAGCTTTCCTTCCCTCTCCCTCTCTTTCCCACACATAGCCCTCTCAGTTTCTGTAGATACAGTTAGCTTATATCTGACACCTAGTGTGTTCAGAGCTTTATCCTTAAGCACTGCAGTTTGGCTGAAAAAGTTAATAAATATCACTACTACAAGCCTAAGATCTGAGGCCAAGGACAGGAGAGTGAGAACAGTGTGACACTAAGTTACAACTGCAGTTTGCCCAGGTAACAAACCTTCTCTGAATGGTATACTCAGTCCTCCTTTCCCAAAACAACTCCTTGCAAGACTTTCTCTGTTACAAATCACCTATCACCTTTAGGATTTCAGGTTCCAGAAACACCAATCATTCTGCTCTTACTGTTAAGACTGGGTCAATCACCCCTAAAAAGTCAACAATTTTAAGTGGGGGGCAGTGAAAGAAAATGAGGAAGAGGGATTTATTTGTGTCATATCTGTTTGTGTACGATTTGTTTAATAAAATAAAACATTTTGAAATATAATACTTAACACAGTATTATATTTGACCTCACATATACTGTGACCAAATTATTTTGTAGTTCAGTTGATTTATTCAAGAGAGGCTGAAATACAACTAAAAGTTTAATGACTCTAAACTATTCAACAGTTCTAATAGTAGCATTTAGATAACTGCAACTGATCAGTATTTGGGTTCTCTCTGCATGTGAGTATGTGTGTGTTCACTGAATTCACATTTCTGAATGTAACTTAAAAATAGCTTTTCTCTCATGCATATTTACTTGTATATATGTGCCGAATGGGTTGTATCAACACATAATCTATTTGCTTACCCTACTATTAAAAGCTGTACTAACCTGCGCGAATAATATACAAAAGTACATATCACAGTGTTCTCCAAGTGTCACTAAGTTATAAAATTTCTCCTGACCATGCTGACTCTGAATTTGTAAGTAGCCCAGAAGTAAGAATTAAAAAGCATTACCTTTCCAGTCCTCTCACCAGCAGACTCCTGTGTCATGTGGAAAGAGCTGTCTGAGTTCCTCTTCATGGTATTGGCACTGTGAAGTTTTATACTGTACTACTTATTTGTACACTCACACATTGGTACCACTCAAAGAGAGGAGGGCTGGGGCTTTGTTTGGGATTGGTTAGAATCAGCATGACATCAGCAGATGACTGGCTTTTCCAGCATGAGGCATATTTCATAATTCATTATCTAATGGAAAGACTTTCTTAACTGCTATGACACTTCTGGGTGATCAGTGAACCAGTGAAACCTCTGAGAAACTAGTCTGCCTTGTAGAAAAATACTGGCATCAAGCAGATATATCTTATTGACTTTCCAACTTTCAACTTTTCTTTTACTGCTTGTGCACACACTTCTCATTATATTCAGGTTCAGTTTTATGTCTTCACATAAAACATCTGTTACTTCATGAAGTCGCCTCTATTTACAAAGTATCTAATTGTTTCATACAGGGAAGAAAATTCAGTGTTCTTTATAGGAATTCCAATTTTACTTTTTAAAATAAGACTTCATGGAGGAAAAAAAAAATAGGAAAATATGTCTACTTATATGACAACAGCCTCCCCTCCCTGACATACACTATTATTTTACATCTTGAAATTGAATACCTGCTTCATAAATCATTTATCACCAAGAACTCTGGAAATACTCTCTGCTAGCGAACTTTAAAAGTATGCTTCTCAGGTCTTTAGAGTCTCTATCAAACTAGTCAAGAGACAAAAAACAAAAACTGAAACAAAAGCTCTTCATTCTTATCAGATATTCAAAACCTGTAATTGCTAAATTGTTACAAACATAATATGAGATTAATGAACTAATGAACGGAAGTGAATACTCCTTGAGATAGGGATTAAGTTGGCCAGGCAGTAGGTGGGGGGGATTCAGCCAGCAAATTTGGGAAGTAACACAGGAGGAAGGAATCTTCAAATAAGAATGGTGGAGAAGGACTGTTTGAAAGAGAACTCTGGAGCAAAAGCCGGGTACTCATGACAAGTTGGATAAAATGTGCAAAATTGGGAGTTAATGACATCCATATGACTAGATATGTTGTTTTGTATGCAGGATTTAACATGTATAAAATAAACTTTTCACTGTGCCCACAAGCAAACTATAGAGGTTCTGGCCTCCTGATGTGTAGTCTCAGTAGGTTCCTGAGGACATCAGAAGTTTTCTGTGTAAGAAGGTCTTTCTTGGCTAACCAGGCAGCGAGCGTGTGTATCTGGGGGTGGGGGAGTTATTCTATGAACTGCATATGCAGAAATGAAGTAGGAAATAAAATCAATAGGTTGTAGAGGATCAGAGGGAATCTGAGAAGGAAAGATAGAAACAAGGTCAGTGTTGGTTAACTTCAAATCTGCCCATCAGTTCAGAAGGGGGATGGACTCCATCCCTACACAGATGCAGGGCATCAGGGCATCTAAAGTACCCCCCTCCTGCAACCGTGAACCCTGGTGTCCTAGCAATACCACGTGTCAATGCTTTGGGGGCCCGGCACAAAATGAACTTGGATGGGACCTGGCTCAACAGCCTACTAAGCATGAAAGTTTGGGCCTCGCTGTTCTGCTCGTATCTATAAAGCTGGATTCGCAGTACAGAACTGCGGGGTAAAGTTCAGAAAATAATGGGTGGTATTATTTCTTAGGTGCCTGGTGGCTCTTTCTAAACATTTGTGTCACAGGAAGCTGCAGCGCCCTGACTAGAGGAGCCACCTTATATGTGTCGATGTGTGACTCAGACCGCCTTGGCTGTGGATGCCACCTAAGTGCCCACCTGCCGGGTCAGCCCACCAGCGGTGATGTCATACTCTACCTGAATCCCCCACCTCAGAGCTGAGCCACCCTGGAAATGCCTCCTCACTCAGTGGAAATTAAGCTGGGGGTGGTAGAGGAAGCAGGCAGGTTAAAATAACTCCTGTGGAATATTCTGGAATGGGAACGCTCTTTTCCCTTCGGAACTCCAGCGCCCAGGGGTTGAGCAGGGCAGTCCCGCTCCAGACAAGCATCTCCTCTTCCTTCCTCGGTTTGGTTTCTCTTTCACTTCCTGCCCCCTCCCCCCTTAGCTTCCCCGCACCCCGGCCTCTTCCCACTACTCGGCTGCTACTGTACCTTGAGCAACACCTGCTGGCGGCTCCCGGGGATCACGCCGGAACTCTGCCGCTGCTGAGCCCGGCTCGCGGCTCCCGGAGTCAGGGCCAAGCGGTTCCGAGCGGCCGCCTCTATTTTTACCCGGAGCACCAGCAAGGGCAACTTCTTTTAAGAGCAGCTCTTGATTTTTCCCCCCTTTTGGCAGCTAAAGAATTCAGGGAGGGAAAACAGAAATCACTGTTCAGTGAGTGTAGCTGAGAATCTATGAACCCAGACCTCGGTGCCAGGGCTGAAAGCACAGCCCATGTCAGGGAGCGGGACCGGGACCTGCGGGCGGGCGGGCTCTGGGGCGGCCAGGGGAGCGCTGACGCCCCGCGAGCTGTCCCCTCCGCGATGGTGGAGTCGGATGCTACCGGCGGCTGCGCTAGCACAGTGGCCCGCTGCCACCGCGTTTTTCACCTAGAGCAGGCGGCCTGATTTACTGGCTACTTCACAAAGCTCTTAACTACTCGCTGGAGCATTTGCATGACTATTCTCGCCTGGAGGAGCAGCCCCTGGAGAACCCGGTGGAGCAGCTTGCTGGGAGAAGGAGCCGGGAGGGAAACTGTGGTACCTTATTTTACTGTAATTGCAAAAGGCACGATGTGCCAGAGATTTATATTTAGAAGTTGTATGTTTCTACTTTTATGTAAATGGAGCAATTAGGGCCTGTCTTGCTGCTGCTAACTCCAGTGCTTGTGCCTTGCTGGGGAGCTGGTGTTTTCAATCACAATTAGTGAGCTGGTCAAAAAACAAAGTTCATTTAAGGATAATAGCGCCATGGTGCGAATGCAGGAGGG